ACTTCATTACAGTTACACCAAGACAAATGGATCAGGGCTAGGGTTTTTGTTTTGTCACAAAAGTGAACGTTCAGGAGGGCACCTACAGCATCCCACAAAGCAGTGAAGCCCTGCCCCTGAACGACCAGACTAGCCCACGCTGGTACTCCTCACATCTTTATACTGGGTATATAGTGTATGTATATATATATATACACACACATATATGTGTCCTCACATCATTTATAATGGGTATAAATTGAAATCAGGGAGGTTTAGATTAGATATCAGGAAGAAATTCTTCACAGAGAGGGTGGTGAGGCACTGGAACAGGTTGCCCAGAGAAGCTGTGGATGCCCCATCCCTAACCATTCTATGGTTCAATGATTCTATCTTCCCCCCAAAACGAGCAGCAGCGGCCAGGATCCATGGGGAGCCGGGAGGTGCTGCAGGTCCTGCTGAGGATTACCTGTCGGCTGATGAAAATAAATTCTTCTGCCACATTCCAGATGCTCAAACGTTATTAGTCATTAAGGGATGACTAACGGAGACTGGGAGGGCAGAGAACCGAGGGGTAGAATGCCTACGCCTGTTCACAGCCACGCCACTCATTCTGCAGCTGACCTTGGACGAGTCACATCACCACTCAGACCGTGGATTCCTCATCTACAAACAAGGGCTGAAAATGTCATTTCCTGAGGGAGAGGAGGAGACGGAGGGGGCTGTAGAGGGCTTAATTCTGTGTTCATAACATACTTGGAGATTTCTAGGTAAGAGCACAACTGGAGGAAAAAATAGCAAGATGAGAGTGGAAGATATTTTCAATCTATACAAGATTTATGGAGCTTTCATCCTTTTTTCCCTGCTCCATATTCTCTGTTCTCATACGCTGCCAGAAATGCTAAGTGGAACACAGAGGCAAACAAGAGCTCCAGACAGGCAGGTTTAGTCTGATGCAGGCAGCTAACTCCTGGTGATAAACAACTGCACGGCATAAACACGTTTTTAGAAACGTTGATGCACCTCAAAAAGGGAAAACCACAAAAAGACAGAGCTCAAGTTCCTAAAACTCAGTGTTCCTGGAGCATTAGCACTGCTGACGGGAAAAGGATGCTACAGGCACATTGCTACCCCTAACCAAAATACACAGTCGAGTGCCGCCAGCGCTGAAAATACGCAACGCTGCCATGGTCTGGTGTAACCGATGGGACATCACTGACCCACACGAAGCAGGAAAGATGCACTGAAACGTACTGGTGCTTTTCGAAGGCCAAAATGGTCAGTAAATCCCTAAACATGTGGTGTTCCTATTACCTCAAGAATCCCCTGACACTAGAGGACAGCCGTCATTTTAGTTAAAATGAAACACGATTTGAATAGAAATGCTACTCAATCTGCTGAAACACAAAACAAATCCACAGACAAACAGCGTAAGGCATCGTATATAGTTTCACACAGCCATCCAAACCCAAGAACGTGACCTGAAAAGAACCAAGTACAGCACATTCCCTTAAGGCCTATAATTTACTGTGTTAGTAAAAGACTTTGTAGGGATGACAAGCTAACTGCACCCTTTCCAAAAGGCATTACACTGGGGATGCAGTTTGGTAAACACTCCCGTGTTAATGTGGTCTGTTGCAAGTTCTTCTTAGAAGCAAGTTTTGCAAGATTCAGTTTAAGAAAAACCTCATTTGTCCCCAGCCTGTATTTACGAAACACTCCAAAGTCTCCTGAGACTTCTTCCAGATGGAGTTTCTGATACAGACTGGAAGCTCTTTGAAGAAGCCTTTAAAGTCTTTATTATTGAAAGTTCCCATGCTGTGAACTGCAGCAGTGATGAGCAGGGAAATTCTCTGGGATTCTTTGGCTTTTTACCCAGCCCTTCAGCCGCCCCCTGTTTCAGAGCCATCCAGAAAGAGAGCGCAGCGGCTGAGGGCTTTCTGCTTGTCCCCCACCTCCTCTAAGTCAGCCAGGACCCGGAGAGGAATGTTCCGTGAAGCAGGCCTTCCACCCCGAAATGATTACGGATGTATCTTGCAATTATGCCAAGCGAATGCTATTTCCAGCTCCCGTCTCTGCAGGTTGTCCTCTCCTTCCTCACCAAGCGTCGCGCTGGCCGCTCTGCTCTGACCCGCGCTGTTCTGCTGCTCTGCACAGCTGCTCCAAGTTTTGATGCCTATTTAAAGCCTGGTCACGGTGGACAAGTGGAGTATGGGGTTTTTCCTAACACATGCTGAAACCCTGCACTAGATTTTAGCTGCTGCTAAAAAAAACCAACCCCAAAACCAAACAGCACACACACAAAGAAACGAGCCGAGAAAACAATGCACCTTTTCAAAGATTGCATAAGCAGAGCTCCTCGGGAAGTCATTTCAGCTGGCAGTGTTGAGACAGTAAAGATGCTTGATAAATCTGTTTGAAGGAGCTGAAAATGTGCCACACAAGGAAGCTGCTATCTATAGGCTTCACAGAGACAGCTGCCTGGTCACATTCAAAATGATTCTGTCCTTGTGGTGACAGTTGTAAGCAACAGAAATATAACACACAACCATTAAAAAAATCCACTCTTTCTGAGGCGCCTACCATGCCCGTGTCCTGCACAGACACTGCCATGGTGCCTCCGTTACCAAGTATTTAACCTTTTGCTCACTGCCATAGTCTAGAGTGTATGCCCACGTTTACACAGCTATTTTCCTGCAGTTAAGTCTATCTTAACCTCCCAGTAAAAAGATAAAAAACCCAGAGGTGCACTGCCCATCCAGTAACACCTTCAACACCCGGATTAAGATGCCTCA